TTAGGGTTCAGTTCGGGTTCAGGGTTTAGGGTTTAGGTTTTTAGGGTTTAGGGTTTAGGGTTTAGGGTCTAGGCTTTAGGGTTTAGGGTTCAGGGTTGAGGGTTTGCGGTTTAGGTTTTACGGTGTAGAGTATAGAGTTTTAGAGTTTGGGGTGAGCAGAGAGGTAAGAACGCCAAAGACGCTAAACTCCACGCCCTAAGCCCTGGAAGCTCTAGACCCTAAACCCTAAACCCTAAACCCTAAACCCTAAACCCTAAACCCTAAACCCTAAACCCTAAACCCTTAGCCTGGCAGGATTTCAGATGTCAGGTGTAATGTAGGGGCCTCAATAAGTGCCAATTCTATGTTGGGGGTTCCCTATTAGCATGATAGAATTATAGAATTATAGTATAATGGGTCCCAAAACCCTATTCTAATTTTTCAGGCCCCTGTATTAGTGCTTCAAATTGCGGAGAAGCCCCTGCAATGGCGAAAGGGGTTCGTCTACCAGAAAATAAACAGCTTCCCCAAAGCCCGCGCGCATGTTAGCTTCTGTCGGGTTCTCGGACAAGCGTTGCAACCCTAAACCCGTACCTGTAACTGAAAAGACCTACATACTTAAGGAGCTATATATAGAACCCATAACAAGGAACCCTAAAAAGGTAGGTCTTTCCGGCTACAGGTAAACCCTAAACCGAGGAACCTGGAGCCCTAAAGCCTTAAGCCTTGAGCCCCAAGAACTCCCAAACTTCCTACACCCGTAGAAGTTCAGCACCCGACTTCAACCCATGGAAACCCGAGCCTGCCCCAAGCCGTGCCTAAGAATCCTCAGCGCGTAGATGCTTAAACATCATGAAGCTCGCGTCCTCCAACAGCACTTCTAAAACTGCACCCTGAGCCCTAGCATCCAGCCTGACATCTCAAGACGACAACAGAAGCAAAGCCCACCCTAAACCAAATAGACATGCCAATGGCGGAATCTTACATTCCACATCGTCCTAAAAGTCTACAGCGCCCCCGTGAGATTCCTGAGAAGCAATCCAGAATCCTAAACCAAATGACCCAAAAATTCGCGAAACCCGGCGCTGTAAATTTACAAGCTCTCCATGAAAACCACAAAGACTTTAACCCCACGAACCCCTAAACCCTAAATCCTAAACCCTAAAGACTAGAGAATAATCTTCGGCTCTCCTGCCTGCGAGGCGGTCCCCTCCCCTGGGCTTTCAGCAGCCACCTCGACTCCTGGGATTATTCCCAGAGCCCCGGAGAAAGAGACGGGGTTCAGGGTTTAGGGTTCAGGGTGAGGGTAAGACAAGGTTTGAAGGGTGTTCCACGGCTTGTTTCTTCTTGTCTGTGCGCTGTTTTTGTTGCTCTCCCTCTGTCTCTGTCCCTAAACCCTAAACCCCTAAACCCTAAACCCTAAACACTAAACCCTAGACCCTAAACCCTAAACCCTAGTCTCTGTCTCTGTGTCTCTTTGCCTGCCGGTTTCGAACAAAAACGTCGGGGTCGAAAGTGCTGCAACGCTGTTCGTTTTTTCGGGTTTAGGGCTTAGGTCAGACTTAAAGAGTTTAGGTTGTTTCCAGGGTTCAGGTTTTAGGTTTTCAGTGTAGGGGTCAGTCAGGGTTTAGGGTGAGTGTCAGGGTTTAGTGTAGGTTTAGTTTAGTTTAGGGGTGTTCCAATCCCTAAACCCTAAACCCTAAACCCTACATGTTGCTTGAATACCCACCGGTGCTAAAGTTTAATGGATTTTCGGAGCACAGCGGTTCCGCCGTTTTCTTCGTTGAGGGTTTAGGGTTTAGGGTTTAGGGTTTTTCTTTCATGCACTGTTTTGACGGATTTCATAGGGTTTGCGCAGGGGTTTTATCAGCGTTCAGCCGGCCTCCATACCCATAAACTGAAGCATTCACCTCTGTAATGTCGATCCCAGAAATCAGGAATAACTGGGAGCTCTGCTAAAAAGGGTATCCTCAATGCAGTTTGATTTTGAGGCATATTCCCGACTGGCAGGGTTTTGAAGTCTCTTTGGTATCTCGGGCCAGGCAGTGGTCCTAAAATTTTCGCTTGAACCCCCAACCCTCAACACCTAACCCTAAGAGAGGCGAAATGGCCCGAAGATAAGTGTGCTACAGTCAGAGCCTGACACCCTGAACTCCGAATCTGTGAATCTCGGGTTTAAGGTTTTAGGGTTTAGGGTTTAGGGTTTTCTATGGTTGAGAGTTTAAGGTTTCAGATTGATTTGGGAGGTTGAGGGTGCAGAGTTTGGAGTCTTGGTACGTTGCAGCCTTTGTTGTGCCTTTATGTTGAGGGGTGCGGGAGGTGGGGGAGGGGGGAGGGTAGGGCGTTCGGGCCTAGGCGCTAGGCTTGAACTCAACTGCTGCCAGGACGGCAGTCCAACAATTTGCACTGAAAGGGGCCAAGAAGGCGGCAGTGATTTATTGGTGCTGCTGCCAGGTCTACAAGTAGTACCTTTTTGCTCATTTTGTTCTTCGGTTTCCTCATAAATCTCAAATCGTGCTGTACAAAAGAGGACCCCTATACACCTCGTATAGAGCCCTGATCAATGATCAAGCCCTTATCTAGCCCTAAAGTGCTATGCTGTCCTCACAAAGCACTATGCAACTCTATCAAGCCCTAAGGGGATATAGGGAACCTAGGCACCAACACCTTCTTCACCGGCGTTGGGCAAGGGGCCTTGCAACACCTGGCTGCGAACGGATTTGACGAAGTAAAGGCGAGATGCCGGAGACACAAAGCTCGGACCCTAAGCCACAAGCACCCAAAGCCCATAGCCTCCTAACCCCCAAACCCTAAACCCTAAAATCTAAACCCTAAGCCCTGAACCCGAAAGCCTTAGGTCAGAAGCTCCCGCGGTTCAAGGTTTGGCGTCTAGGGCGTTCTTTTGTGACGGCTCGCCTTCAAGAAGAAAATCAACCCTACACCCTTAACGGGAACAAGGAGCTTCAACCTTTACAAGCCTTCAAACTCGCGGTGCTGTTCTTGGTGCTGGGTGTTCATATTTCTTTTTAGTAGAGGTTGGGGCTTAAGGTTGTGGGTAGCTTTGTCAAGTCTTCTGCTTCCTGTTCTTTCTCCGTGTTCTTTGCATTCCAAATGCCCCTACACCGATCTAAACCCTAAACCCTAAACCCTAAACCCTAAACCCTAAACCCTAAACCCTAAACCCTAAACCGTAGTCTTCTGATTTTGGTGACCTAGCCGGGAAACCCTGGTCCCACAAACAAGAAAACTCCCAAACCACTTCCCGTCAGCCCTAAGGCCTACCCGAAGCCCTCAGCCCCAAGACCCAATATTGGGGTCGGTATAAGTTGTCATCCCGTCCGCACAGAAAGAGCAATCCTACTCCTTCTCCTTACTATCATTCAGTATCGTAGAATATGTCCTAAACCCGTTCTCATGATAAGCCCTTCACCCCAAACCCCAGACCCCGGAGTAGAGTTGCACCCGAAAGGCGTACGAGGTGCAAGACAACATGACGGTCCTCGAGGAGGCTATCGACTGGATCATCGCCGAGAGAGTGGACGTCGTGCTGACCGGGCTGATTCTTGGCGTAAGCTTGAAGGCTTGGCAGTGGAGCCCTTAATTATGAATTATACAACCGTATAAGACCTGCCGAAACATAAACGCCCTGTACAAGCCCTCTACGTTGTCTCTAAACCCTAAAACTTAAACCACTTCCAGAGACATTTCAAGCCGAGAAAGGCCCATTGCACTGTAAAAAAGCCTTAAACCATCGGTTGTCATGGAAACCTCGCTGATGGAGCAAGGAGGTCAAATCAACCCTAAACCCTAAACCCTAAACCCTGCATGCAAGGACCACGGGTGTCTTCCAACTCTTTCTGGAGAGACTGGAAGAGTTTCGTCATCAGAGCCTCGCCTCGACCTCTCCCTAGGGTATCGCAGGGTTTATATGAACCCTAAACCCTAAACCCTAAACCCTAAACCGATTTAAGCCTTCTTTATCTTTTTTTTAAAGGGTTCCCGGCTCAGCCTTCGGGATGCAAGGGTTTTTTTTGGGGGTTCAGGCGTGTTTTCTACATCTTCGGTTTGAGGCTGTTGTTTTGTTTGTTGCGCTCTGGGCTTGAGGGGTTTTGGCTTTAGAGCTTCGGCACAGTTGCCCTAAACCCTAATACCCTAAACCCTAAACCCATAGTCCCTAAACCCTAAACCCTAAACCCATAGTCCCTAAACCCTAAACCCTAAACCCTAAACCCTAAACCCAAAACCCTAAACTCTAAACCGTAAACCCGAAACTCGACACCCTAAGCCCGAAACCCACGGTCCTGTTGGTCTGCATTGCACCCCGTCTCTGCTCTGCGGCCCTGACGGTTGATATTCCGGCGAGGAAGGGAGAGATACGGCTGATGATCTAAATCCTGCATTACCTATAATCAGGAATACACCATAAATCCCATAGTTTGGGGTTTAGGGTTTAGGGTTTAGGGTTTAGGGTAGGTATATAACATAACTCCCATAGTTTAGGGTCGTTAAGGTAATGCAGGGTTTGTATCATCAACAGTATGCGTGCAGTGGGTGCAACATGCGGGCCTGAAAAATCCTCGATTTCATTCCTCAGGGGTTGAACAATTTTTCTGTATTACCATAATGTGCCGCAAACCTCCATTCTAACTATCGAGACCCTATGTTGGGATTGTACATCAAACCCTAAACCCTAAACCCTAACCTTTAGATCCTCAAGCCACAAAACCTAAGCCGCTGTTACCAGGTACGTTCCCGACGGCATCTTTGCGGTGAATCTCCCTTGGATGCGAGAGGGGGAGCGATGCTTCGGCTTGGGTGAGACTTGCAGCTACATCCTCACAGGCACCAGAAGAAGCCCAGAGATTAAACGAAAAAAACCGTTAAGGAAGCGATATGCCTTCAACTACACAGGGTCCTTATAGACAGGGGGTCCTATTTTGTTCCCTAAACCCTAAACCCTAAACCCTAAACCCTACACCCTAAACCCGGCGTATTCGTCAACTTAGGGGTGTGGGAGGCGCTGGGAGCATCTCGAAGGGTTTTCGAAGCGCCAACGCCTGAGGTATAGGGTTTAGGGTTTAGGGTTCAGGCTTTAGGGTCTAGGGTTCAGGGTTCAGGGTTTAGGGTTTAGGGTTTAGGGTGTAGGGTTTTGGGTCATAGCCCGAAAGCAGATTTGCAATGCTCAAGTCCGAAGCTTCCAACCTCCCCAAGGCCCTGAACTCTCGGCCCTCCGCCAGGCCCTAACCTTTCACCTCAAGCCTTCCCAAACCCTACACCCTAAACCCTACACCCTAAACCCTAAACCCTAAACCCTGAACCCTAAACCCTGAACAATGAACCCTAAACCCTGAACAATGAACCCTAAACCCTGAACCCTAAACCCTAAACCGTGAACCCTAAACACTAAACCCTGATCCCTAAACCCTAAACCCTAACTTCTCTGCAGCCTCGCCTCTGATCCGATCCATGAAAGGGTGGGCCTTAAGCATTACCTTCTCGACCCTACATGGGTAGCTCTCGAATTTAGGGTTTAGGGTTTAGGGTTTAGGGTTTAGGGTTCAGGGTTCAGCAGCTCTGACCTTGAAAATTTCTTATCAAGCTATTTCAAGAAAACACCCCACCCGCCCATAGAATCCCCTCACATTAAGAAATGACACATTTATATTTACCAAGCAGACTTAAGCTCGACACTCGGTTTTATTGCTTCAGTTTCTCACTAAGATCATAAACGGCACAGACTCTCAACGCCTTCGCTAGACGGATATCACATGTAGCATATATGCAAGCTCTCGGCACAGAGTCATCCATTTGCTAGACAAGCTCCTGTAAGGTTGCGTGGTACCCAGAGTGTAGCAGTAGTTTAGTAGTAGTAGTAGTAGTAGTAGTAGTAGTAGTAGAAGTAGTGGTAGTAGTAGTAGTAGTAGTAGTAGTAGTAGTAATAGTAGTAGTATAGTAGTAGTGTTACGATTTCTTTTCTTGAGCGACGACGCCTATCGCAGAAGTAACCACGATCAATTGGTATCAATAGCCACAAGTTTTGATCACGAGTTTTGATCAATTGGCCGCGAGTTTTGATCATTGGCCACGAGTTTTGATCATCGCTCCAACAAACGCACCACTAAGCAAAACAGCATACCTCCAACAAACGCACCACTAAGCAAAACAGACGACCTACAACAAACGCACCACTAAGCAAAACAGCATACCTCCAACAAACGCACCACTAAGCAAAACAGACGACCTACAACAAACTTAGCAAAAAAGGCGTTTTTGCACATGTCAATCACGGAGCAGACGCGCATCATGAGCATCAGTGGTGCTGCTTGGCGGTGCAATAACCGGAGCCGCTACCCCATGATCATGAAGGTCCGCGCTGCTGAGTGGTGCATTAAGCAAATTCGCATCAAAGGTGTTGCTTCGTGGCTCTTGGGCACTCTTTCTTCGTGGCTCTTGGACGTCTTCGTGGTTCAGGGCGGAGGGAGGGAGCGAGGTGAAGGGAGGGTTGGGAGGGAGGATACGGTGGAGGGAGGGAGGGGCTGGGGCTGGGGCTGGGGCTGGGGCTGGGGCTTGGGCTGGGGCTGGGCCCCCCACCGGCCAGGGCATCAATGGCCACGAGTTTTGATCAATGGCCACGAGTTTTGATCAATGGCCACGAGTTTTGATCAATTGG